AGGTATCTAACAGAATATATATAACAAAGTGCTTTGTTACTTCTTTGATCTAAAAAGTTGAAAAAGAAAGTTTTGAACATCAACTTTCTGGTCAATCCAGCCAGCTCAAATTCCATTAGTCTCTATGATCCTACCCAAGGAGTTCCAAGTACTTGGGTTCTGATGTATAGGGAGAAAGCAGAAGTTCCTACTGTTCTTTTACATACATCAATTCTCTGAGAATTATGACACTTTTGCTAAGCAGTATGTAAAAGGCAGAAGTGGCCAATGGGTGGCCTACAGCTTCCATCAGCCCTAAGCTGCATAGCTAACAGTGAGAGATCATGTGAATTGTAGGCCAAAATATTCATCCCATTCATCTTGTGACTGATGGACAAGCAGGTATGGTTGCACCAAGTGAACATCACCTTTGGTGATGTAGCTGACAATTTTGTGAGATCTGTGTATCTCTGATACCTGATTCTTGTGAAGAACTTATCATATGTAGATGCTCCACTGGATGCAAATACAATTGCACAAAAGGGAAAATGCAGTGCATTATAGCACCTCCTACTCTAAAGCCATTTCAACAGTTTTTCAGGGTGAAAAATGTTCGAAGTATGATACACATAAACAAGGAAGGTTGTGTCCTAAATTTTTGGTTTCATGAGTCCAGTTTAAAATGTGAATATAGAAAAGCCATGCTGGGCGCTAACCCTAACCCAGTGGTTCATCTGTTCCAACATTCTGTTCCCAAAGTGCCAAACCATCTGCCCACAGGTTCCCAGAATCGGTGTGCGCGCAACAGCACCATTCTGCCCAAGTTCCCCAGGAACCAGTGTACATAGGCACACTGCTTCTAACACCAGAGGCAGCATCTAGCCATCAGGACTATTAGCCATTGATAAATTTCTTTAAGCTGTTCAAATAGGTGCCATCACTAACCCCCATGGAAGTAAATCCATGACCGAACACACTCGAGAGCCCACTATCGGGCCTATGCTGTGGCGGTGAAGGCGGTGAAAAAGAAGTTTTTTTCCGCTTCCATTGCCTCCTCACAATGCCGTCCGGCGGAGCTTTTTCGAGTGGTACAAGGCCTGGTTCTGCCGGGTCCTAAGGAAGATCCGATGCCACCCTCAAAGGCCCGCTGTGACGACTTTGCCAGGCATTTCAGGGAGAAAATCGCTCAGATTCGTCACGAGCTAGACTCCACAAATGAATCAGAGGTCTCTGAGGAGTCGCCAATGCCACCGTCTGGTCCAAAATTATTGGAGGAATTTCAATTATTGCGGCCCGATGATGTGGACAAGGTGCTTGGACGAGTACGTCCCACCACTTGCCTATTGGATCCTTGCCCGTCTTGGTTAATAAATAACTCCAAGCACGGGATTGGGACCTGGATCTTGGAAGTGGTTAACGCTTCTCTGAGGGAGGGTCGAGTGCCTGCCCCTTTAAAGGAGGCGGTAATACGACCGGTCCTGAAGAAAGTGTCACTGGATCCAGAGATGGCCACTAACTATAGACCTGTGGCCAACATCCCGTTTCTGGGCAAGGTGTTGGAGCGAGTGGTGGCGGGACAACTCCAGGCACTCTTGGATGAAACTGATTATCTGGATCCTTTTCAGTCTGGCTTCAGACCCGGGTACAGTACTGAATCTGCCTTGGTCGCCCTGTACGATGACCTGTGCAGGGAGAAGGACAGGGGGAGTGCATCCCTGTTGATTCTTCTGGACCTCTCGGCGGCTTTCGATACCATCGACCATGGTATCCTTCTGGATAGGCTAGCGGGATTGGGGGTTGGAGGCACTGCTTTGCAGTGGTTCCGCTCCTATCTCAACGGTCGATTCCAGAAGGTAGCGCTGGGGGACTATGTCTCTGCGCCATGGCAGCTATGCCATGGAGTACCACAGGGCTCCATTCTATCCCCTCTGCTATTTAACATCTATATGAAACCGCTGGGAGAGGTCATCAGGAGGTGTGGGCTGCGGAATCATCAATATGCTGATGATACCCAGCTCTACCTCTCATTTTCCACTAATCCAGGTGAGGCAGTGGCTGTGCTGAACCGGTGCTTGGCCGAGGTAATGGAATGGATGAGGGCCAACAAACTGAAACTCAACCCAGACAAGACGGAGGTCCTGTTGGTTGGCGGATCGGGCTTCGGAGAGGGTGGATTTGACCTGGTCCTAAATGGTGCAACACTCCCTCTTAGGGACAAGGTCCGCAGCTTGGGAGTACTCCTCGACCCGGAGCTTTCTTTGGAAGCTCAGGTGGCAGCGGTGGCGAGGAGCGCCTTCCTTCAGCTTCGGCTGATCAGCTGCGCCCCTACCTGGAGTACGACTGCCTGGCGACGGTGACACACACGCTGGTGACTTCCCGCCTAGACTTCTGTAACGCGCTTTACGTGGGGCTTCCCCTGAAGACGGTCCGAACACTTCAATTGGTGCAAAATAGAGCTGCCAGGTTGCTGATGGGGATGGGGCGTTATGCTCACATGACTCCAGTCCTCCGTCAACTTCACTGGCTTCCCATTGAAGCCTGGGCCCAATTCAAGGTGTTGGTTATGACCTATAAAGCCCTAAACGGCCTGGGTCCTGGCTACCTGAACGAGCGCTTATGTCCGTATATGCCCGACCACCCCTTGAGATCTGTGGGAGAGTCCCTTCTCCGGGAACCCTCCATGAAAGAAATTAGGAGAGTAAGTACTCGGAGGAGGGCTTTCTCTGCGGTGGCGCCCAACCTATGGAATTCACTCCCCAAAGAGGTCCGCCTGGCACCGTCGTTACTGGTTTTTCGGCGCCAGGTAAAGACCTTTTTATTTAAACATCATTTTAATTGTTAAAATATACGATCTGGCCAGGGCAACTTCCTCTTCCTTCTCTTTCCTCCTCCTATATTCTTTATTTACTTATTTTATACTGCTAATTTTAATTTTATATTATCTCAGTGCATTTTTTGTATTTCTGTATTTATTGGTAATTTATTATGTTCTATTGTATTTCAATGTATCTTATTGTGTTGTAAGCCGCCCCGAGGCTTCGGCAAGGGGCGGCATAGAAATGTAATAATAATAATAATAATAATAATAATAATAATAATAATAATAATAATAAATCCCATTGTTTTAAGTTTATGCTGCATTAATAAGCACTTCCTTTTATCTGTCCTGACTCTCCCACCAGCCATCTTCATGGGATGATCATGGCTTCCAGTATTATGGGAAAGGGAGAACAGTGTCTTCCTGTCTACCTTCTTGGCACCATCCATTAATTTGGAACACATCTACAATGTCTCACCTTACTTGCCTTTTTTTAAACCTAGACACCAGTGGTTGCAATCTTTTATCATTCTAATCTCATCATTATTTTAGTTTCCCCTTTTCTGCACCTTTTCCAATTCTACAATATCCTTTTTTAGGTACAGGTAATCTATGGGTTATGAACGTCTGGGTTATGAAAAACTCATACTTATGAACAAGCAATTCCAGAAGTCCTGCCTCATCCTCTATCTTTAATAACACTTTCAACCAATTTACCTGTAGCAGACATTAAACTTCCCTAAATCCCTTTTTAAAAATGGGTGTTGAGGTCTTCAGCACAGGGACTGATCTTATGGGTATTTTTGTAAGAAAATCAGCAATTTTATCTGATTTCCTTAAGAAGTCAAGGATTGATACCATCTGGCCCTGATAGTTTTCAAACTTTTGGTTTGTTTGTAAGACTGAAAATTGTTCATAAGATTGAGAAGCGGCGTCTTTTGTTGCCACTACCTGCCTTAATTCCTCAGACTCCCCTCTTGAAAAGATCAGTTAAGGAAGATGCATTTGTCATGTATTCTCTGCTGTGAAACAATGGAAAAGAATTCATTTGCAATCTCCATATCCTCCTTCAATACTCGTTCAACCTATGTTTATTTTTGCTTATATATGCCGTCTCCTACGCCTAATGGAATCTTTATCATCCAGTGGTCCAACTATCTGAAAAGCTGCTTCTTCTATTATTCTCTACCATCTGCTTGCATGTCCCTTGTGAAAGTTTGTGTTCCCTTTTTTCCTTATTTAGATAAGATTTCCTTTTTCTGAAGAAAGCTTCTAATATCTCTTGGCACTGCTCCTTAATCATGCTGATGACCTGTTTGGACTTTGTGCTTCCTTTCCTAACTGGTGGTATACATGCTATCTGAGCACCTATTATTGTGGTTTTGAGTAATCTCTAAGCATTTGGAAGAGATTTAAGCCTCTTTAAGATTCCCCCTCACCTTCCTTTTTATCATTTTCCGCATTTTAGAAAAGTTTCCTCAAATGTGAGTGTGTTGTCATCTCTGTCAATCTTCCATTTAAAGGTATATTAAATCTGACAAGTGGTCACGGTTTCCAACAACATTTACTTCTCATACTGAGCAATCCTACCTAGGATTAAATCCAGGATTACCTCTCCACTGGTCAGTTCTACAACGGTTTTAGGGCACAGCTGTTTAGGACACTGAGGAAATTGTTGGAACTGGAATATGCATTTTTACAGTCAATGTAGGGGCAGCTGAAGTCACCCATGATTAGAACAATTCTCTTTTTGAATACCTCTCTGATTTCATTTTCCATCTCAAAATCACCTTAAGCATTCTGGTCTGGTGGACAAGAGCATGTTCTTAGGACAAAATTTTGTCCAAAATACCTGTCTTATATCCAGGTATAGTTACCCACAGATTTTCAGGTCCGCTGCACTCTGTACTGTCTCTGACATTAGAGAGCAACACCTCTTCCTGTACACCTGTGCAGTTTATATCCAGAGAAGACAGTATCCCACTGAACCAATGTGCTTCAGATAAAATCCTTCTCCTGGGCTATCCATTGTCCAAGAATTCTAGCTAGGACTTGCTGGAACCAATGACTTTGTTTGGAAACACAGTGGGCATTCTAAACCGAACTCAATCAATAAGGTATTTTGAGACACTGTCTCCCTGGTTCGTGTGGTTCCTACTGTGCCCTAATTCTCTTTTTCAAAGTATGAACAAAAGATCTCACAGTACGTTCAACTTGTACTTACATTTACTTAAAATGATTTATAAATCCATATAAAACTATTTTATTTTGTTCTGATTAGCAAGACATTTGTGTTGCAAGGTTAGTCTGTTACAAAGAAAAAAATCAATTTCAGATGCCACTTTTTAATTTAAAGTACAAAAACGACAAAATTGAGCTTGAAAAACCATACATTTGAATTCACTATATTCAGTTTATATATTCATTACATTCAGCTCCATTTTAGGCAGAAAATGGAGCTTACCAATTTTTTACCAAAGACGCCTCCTAAGAGCATAATTCTATGCACGTTTAGCCAGGAAAGTATCTTACATCAGTTAGTAGGCTGAGGAACACTGGAAGTGGTAGATCCTTTTTTTCTCTAAACATGCATGGGATTGCGCTTAACTTGCTAACTGTCCTCAGTTAATCTAGAAGCTGCCCAAATATCTAGAAGGTGCTCAAATTAGTGTAGACAGGCAAACATTCACAATTCTGGAGTCCTTGCTAGGTTGCAATTTATGGGTTCAACTATTTGAAATGGTATTTCAGGCATGTATGGTAGCCACCAAAACACAACATTTTTCTCAGTGTGCTGAAAAGTACAGACACACTTCTATATATGAAAATGCACTGGGATTTCACTCCAAAGGTACTCCTACTCCAGGCAGTGAAGTTAAACCATTACAATCTCTTGTGAATCTAGCTATGACTGACTTCTCGCAGCAACAGGTATGAAATTGCAATGAATATGGATTCATCTTACTAACAGAAGTCTAAGTCAGTTCAACATAATGGCTTGTGTTGACAATTGTTCTCAGGCCATGCAACAAACAGAAAACAGAGATTTATATCATGCTGGCAATATCCTTGGAATTGGTTCCTGCTCTCTGGAACTGATTCCCTGTCCCCAGAAGATCTTCCTGGTCCACACCTTTATCATATAATATTGTTTTTTCTTGATCTTAGAGACATCTTCAGAGCCACAGATTCCCAGATGTTGTCTGCCCATTTAAATCATGTCCAGCTGCAAAAGAAAACAAAATACTTGGCAAAGAAGCCACTGATTTCAGGATACAACTTGCAGAGGCTGGATAAAGGTGATGATTATTAAAAAAAATCTGTGCAGCCTCTTAAAACTTAAGGCAGATTAACTAATAACATAAAGTATTGATTTCATTTATACCTTGCCTTTCTTCCACTATGGAAATCAAAGCAGTATACAGGGGAATCCCCAGTGGTCACCCAGTCACTGAGCTAACCTAAACCTGTTTTAACTTCAACGAGGAGCCTGTAACTGTGCCCTTGCTGTGACCATGTTTGATTTGGAAGAGAAACAAAAGTGGCTGGGCCAAAGCCTACCTGGAAACTAACTTCTTTCTGATCCAGCAATCTTGCCCTCCAGTTATGCAAGGATGGAAGGCTGGGGAAGGTCTAGACCTTCAGATGTTATTGGACTGTAACTCCCCTCAGATGAGGGCTGAGGAGATCACAGCCCGACAACATCTAAAGCGCCACATGTTCCCCATCTCTACTGCAGTGAGCCAATGAATAATGAAGAAAATTTGGTACATGTTAAGTCTACACAGTCTGTTTACAAATACAGAAGGAGACAGAGCAATCCAGTAAGTGCAGGCCTCATCAAGCTTGAGAATCTGACGGACATGAACTTTCCGGATCCCTCATTCAGATTAAGCAGTATTAAATGCTCTTTCACATACCAGTTTTAGTAAAGAATTTCATTGTGGAGTAAAAAAAATAAAATCAGCATAACCTTGCAATCTTCAAACTAAGAATGGCAGGGTATAAATTGTATGTAACATGCACAGAGCAGCGCAAACGTGGAGGGCTCCCAGGCACAACTGCTGTGCCAAAATTGATGCCCTATTATTTCTAGCGCCAAAGATATTCTTGGTAGGTTGGCAGTGATTCAGGGTTTAACGAGAACTGGAATGCTTACATGCAATATGGCCCACAAAATGCCCATTTCTACCCTACCTTTTTATTCCAAACATAAGCCAAAAGCAAACCTAAATATATGCCTGCATATGAATTGTATACCAAAGGGGCTGGATCAGCATTGTAATAAACTGCAGGCATGGTCCGTGGCTTAAATAACAACACTGGGAGAATTCTTTAAAATACTCACTAGATCATCAACATCACCACCTTCATCTGCAACTGGTGAAGCTGCCATGGGTGCTTCTTTGGGAGCCAGGAACTAAAATAACATTAATTTGAATGCAATCAGTAATTCATTAGCTAGAGCAAGAACTGCTTGTTTATTACTGAAAACCCTCCTTTTATTTCCATTCCAATAATCAGAAAGATAAAGAAAGGAAAAACAAGAAGAGGAAAGGCCAGAATGCACAGGTAAATTTGCATATTGTGAATTGGGCAATGAGTCCAGCTGCATCTTTGATGGAAGGTTTTTATGGTGCCATTACCCTGCCTCATTCATTGAATTTTCAAGAGGCCCAGATGTCTTTGTTTTCCATTCAAAACCCTCCTTTGTTTTCTCACTACTACTTCTGCTACTTCTGCCTTTGTCTCACTGCAGACAATCCATCAAAGGAAAAAAGATGGACTTGCTGCACCATGTCTTCAGATCTGGTAGCACTGGGAGCAACCCAGCTGGCCACAACTGGTGTTTGGGGAAAATATGGCTGTGCTCAAAGCCCTGCAGAAAGGCATCCCGTACGTCACATTCCATTCCATTTGTTCATGGCATCCCTTCGCAGGGATGCCCCTCGCTCTCAGGATGCTACCGATGTCAGTTGGAGTATGGAATCTTCAAGTCACCACTGAACTGCCGAAGTAGCACATCAAATCCAAAGCCCCACCTAACAAATACCAGGCCTTGTTCTGCTGTGTTGTGGTGTAGGGGACACGTTGAAGCCGGGTTGTGTTGACTGTGTTTTCTTAGCCAATCTGTGCTGGTGTGTATGGGGGTTTGAGTGGGGGGGATTAGTTGTGTTTCATTATCTAACATTATGGATATTATTGTATTAAGTAGCTTTGTTTGATTCTGTATTGCTCTGCTGTTAATATTGTATTTGAATTTGTATTTGCTGTAAGTATAGTATTACATTTATGTTGCTTTTGCAAATTTTTGATTATATTATTGTATTTTGTATCTTGACTTGCTGTAAGCTGCCCAGGACTCAGAGGCTATGAGCAATCATCAAGTGAACAACTGGAAACGCTCTGAAAGTGGCCATGCACCAGGTGGCTTCTTGGTTTCATTTTCCCCCCCCCAACCACAAAGTACCTTAACAGCTCCAGCAGATGCATATGTAAGTCAAACCTCATTTGGCTTTTGATGAGAACTTGTTTAATGCCATGTATGGAATATTTCTTAATGACTGATTTAATAACTACAAGGACTTCCTTGAATAAATGGCCTTAATTCATTATCATGCAGGTATAAGAAGCCCTATGTTAAATATTGAACAGCAGCATATGCCATAGGAGTGATACGTATCTATCTATATCTACAGTATATCTATACAGTGCAAAGTAGCTTATCAAATTAAATGAATTACATTTGGCTAAAATATACAGATTATAATAAAATTCTCCAAGTTCTTATACAATTATTGTGAGCTTTGAGCCTCAATAAGTTGCTTAATTCAACTTAGGGCACACTCCTAATTTTAAATTACTCAGGTGAGGAAGAACACAAGGCCCAGTTTGGATGCCATGAGAACTCAGATTTCTTTATTTTTTATCCTGTGCTGCCCAGCAGCTTCCACTGTAAGTTACTGATGCGTGGGTTACAACGCCGGATTTTTGCTCAACAAGCTAGAGTTCCTGGTTTTTGCACAACACATTTTGTTTACTTGCTCCTTCTGCAGTGTGTACTAATATACCTACTCATAGCAATCCAGGGTTTACAAAAAACAGCTGGGCCACATCCTCACAGCATATGAATATCTGGTTTAGAACTAATTGTTTCATCTCAGTCTTTTAAAGTAATAACTATTATTCTCACCCAATCTTCCAGTGGTGGTGCTAATTTAGGCACAGGTCCTACTCTTAGCTTCCAAAATGAGAATAATTAGATTGCACTTTTGATTAACCTTTTTCTATACGACAGGTCGCATCCAATTCTATCTACCTGCCAGAAGGACACAGCTAACAGAATCAGTTCTGCTCCCATGTCAGCCCCACAAATTCACTTTGGAGAGCTGGAGGGTTCACTGAGGAGGATGGACGGGGCATGAACAGACGATGCAGAGGGGAGGAGACAAAGAAGCCCCAGTGGAGGAGTGGAAGTTCATACATTTGACACTGGATTGAAACAGATGGCTGCAACTTTCAACACTCCATGTCATTATCAAAAGGCCATACCTTTCCTAAGCTGCAGACAAACACTGTCCTACAAGTCATGTTTATCTAAAGGCTGCTTGGATAATGCAGCCTTTTGCAGCAGAAAACATCGCAAATTAGCCAAGGTTACACAGCAGGGAAGATTACACAGTCCTAACACGTTATGCCTGTATACGTCTTTCTCCCTGACATTGTAGATGTAAAACCATTATTGTACAGGCAATATTGAAGTAAAAGCACATTGTCAAATTTAAAAGCCTTTTTCCACTGAAGCAAATCCCATTTTACATAGTTAATTAAGGTAAAATGCTATTTCTGAAAGTTACACTTTTGCTTCAAAGCCTCCAAAATGGAATCCTGGCATTAAATTAGATGTAAACAACACACCAGAGTCTCGAAGACACCAAGAATGAGAAAATGCTTATGAAGATTCTTTTAAATTTCCCATCAAAAAGCAACCCTTTTTTCCCTTTCCTGACATGATTTGCTTCACATTTATGCAGAGGCAAAATTACATGTAATAGCTGTGCTGAAACTCATTATACTTCTCGAGATAATGACAGAACATGCTTGGCAGGTCTGTTAATATCACATCTCTGTGTTCCAAAGAAGAGCACTTGCCACCCTTCCTCTGGCAAGAATGCACTAACCTTAGCGAGAACAGTTCTCCCAGAAAAAGGTTTGATTTGTGCAGGATGTGGGCCACAAGAAATGTGGTCACCTCTGTCAAGTTCTCCATGGGTGCCTGACCACATCTAAATGCACTGGAAACATAATCATCTCCTTCATAGCTTAACCTAGCACATTACTGAACAGTGGCCTGGACAGATGCCCTGCTAACAAACTAATTTTACATCAAAGCTGTCATTGTGCATGGCAAGTACATTTAAAGTGGGCCTGGACCCGCAAGGAAGGCTTCTGAGCTCAAAGTTTTCCATGAGGCTCATGCCCTGGTTTGCAAGTGCAAGATGTATAAGGAATGAGATGTAACTGTGGATTGTACCATCTCAACATGTAGATAGGTGTGGAATGCCCCTGTATAGAGCACCAGAAAACCAGAAAGTCTTAGCATATCCTTCTTGCGAATGTGAATTTTAATTTTTTTAATTAACTTTAAAAATAAAAAGGAAGTTGTATTTCCGTCCCCCTCGCAATCTGAAGAAACACAGTCCAGAATTCCAGCTCATCGGTCATGTAGCATGTTGCTCCATGCAGAGACCAGGCCAAAGAAGGTGGCTTTGGAAGGGCATGGTGTTCCCCCAAGGAAAAAAGGAGCACTGCCCCTGGATTGAATGAGCTTTCTGCTCCTAGGAGTCCCTTTGTGGTGCTTTCCTATTCCTTTTCATTCACTGCTTGCCCAGAGCGGGCAAATCACTTGGGGTGGGATGTGTGGACATTTCCAGAAAAAGCACTCTCTTATCCAGACTGAAAGAGCTATAAATCTTTTAATTTAAAAAAAAATTGAATACCCCCTATAATGTACAGAAGGTGAGCTGTATGTGCCGGCAGCAGGGGTGGAGGTGAGAAGGTCATGCATTTGCTCTACAGGCCTTTTTAACAGAACAGCATGTGCGACCTGAGAGGACGGCAGCGTGTTGGCCTTCAGTAGTGCTTCCTATTGGGCCCCCCATTGGCTACAAGGTAATTCTGGATGGGCTCCCCGTCCTCTCACTGTGCATGTTAAGAAGAGAAGAAGAACCAGCTCCCTGCAGTCACTTGCCTTCGGTAGAGGGAAGTCATGTCAGGAAGAGACAGCAAAGAGAGGCGAGACCAAGGCATGGGAGGCAACCACAGTCTGGCCCGTCTCAGGGCAGGGCCATACGAACGATGCCAGGGCAGGGCCATGCTGGCCGTGTCTTTTCAGCCAACTGTGCTGGTTTGGGCATTTGGGGTTTTGTTTTTGTTTTTGGGGGGGGGAAGCTGGATTATACTTGCATTTTACTGTTGCTTTATATAATGTACTATACTATTCATTAAGTATTCCTGTTTTGATTTCTGCATTGCTTTTGTAAGATTATATTTTGTATGTTTGTTTTGGTTACAGTATTGTATTTTGTAATTGAATTTGTATTATTTCTGTTTTAGCCCAGAACCCTTATGGGCTATGGGGTGGCATACAAATATAATTAATAATACAGAAATAATATTAATACAAATAATATTAATAATACTAAGAGCTATCTAAAGCAAACACAGAGTCCTGATTTCCAAAGTCCCCCAATCACATACCACTGTGCTCTATAAAAAGACTAAGTACTATTAATATGTCAACATTGAAGATCTAAAACCAGAAATGGCCAGGCTGCACAGAAGGTAGCTCAAAAAGCCAGAGGCAATGAAGCAGCATGGAAAGTCTGTCTAGATCCTGGGTGAAGCAGCTCAAACTGGATTATCTCCGCAATACAGTACTTCTAAAAAGTGGAGAGCAGGGCAATCTTATTGTTCAATGAAAGCAAAGTAATAGTGGGGTAGGCTGGACCTGTAGAAATTTGCTTCTTTGTTTGCATTCAGGTTAAACAGTATGCGGCACCATCTCTGCACAATCAAATGAACATTCTTTGGCCTAAGGAGAGGATCATTTTACCACATTGCTAAATGCGGACAGACTGTTTACCAGAAAACCGCTGTGAAGCCTCCTCTGGAAACGGCATATCTGAATTTGAAAAGCACTATAACAAGTACCTTTTTTGCATCTTCAGCTGTCACAGAGCTTCCTTCAGCTTCTTCTTTGGTGATCAGGGAAATTCCATCTAAGAACAACCAAGCAATTAGCAGATGACAACATTTCTCCACTTCACATTACAGGTAGAAGTGCACCAGACCCAGGTTTTGCAGTCACAAAACAAAATGCTTTTTGAAGTCCATTGAATATTACAGCTGTCACAAAGAACCCAAGTACCATGGTACACAAACAGATTATTTACACTACAGTGTAAAGATCATCATCTAAATGATCTCAATCTGGTCCCACTGTAGAGAGGCTTCAGAAATCACTGGTATGTTGGATCTAGCAAAAGCCTGTAAGGATAGAAGGGTTTATTTTGTCAGTAAGAGACTTCTGACACTGCAAAGCTTTCCCAGTCTAGCAGACAATCCCCCATGCTCTCCCTGATACCCTCCTAAAAACTGCCCTAGAGGCTTGAACCCCAGAGCAGTGGAGGAAATAATGCTCACGGATGCAGAGGGATGGCGGCAATTGGTGGAGATGGCACTCTGGACGTGCTCCAACAGAGCAAAGCTCAGGGAGCCAAGGTTCCATTTGGATGCCAGGAAGCACTTCCTGACAGTCAGGACCCCGAGGATGTGGAATGGGCTTCCACGAGAGGTTGTTGAGGCCCCATGGGTGAGGGTGTTCAAGGATAGGCTGGACGTGCACATGATGGGCATGTTGTGAGTGGAGCCGGCTGGTGCCGGAGGTCAGACTAGATGGCCCGGGAGGCCCCTTCTGACTCGCTGTTTCTATGTTTCTTTCTTCCAGCTTGAGAGTTCTTGGGTAGAAGCATGCGCATGTGCACACACAACATATAAAAATAAAAAAATGAGAGGAGAAAAAGGAAAAGAGGAAGGAGCAACGAAGTGATTCCAACCTAAGCGGTTGCAGTCAAAAAGGAACTGAGGGATGGGCAGAGCCCCCTCCCCTTATAGCAGGGCTCCAGATGGGACGGGTGCCCCACCCACTCCATGGCGCCGAGCTGCAGAAGCTTCTTCCAACCTAGGCCTTCTGCTGTCGCTTGAGACCAACCACATGTGTGCACAGAGACCATGATGAAGAACTGCCACCTCCCCACATGTAGTACTTAAAACAACAAACCTTGGAGAGCATCCAAGGTTTGTCCTATGTAGAGCAGACACATCAAAATTAATGGGACTTCAGTCAGTCATGAATTTCAACTGCCTGCTCTACGCAAGACTAACATTGCATGCTACCTGCTATTTTTATATAGATTATCTATAGGAAAGCATGTCTTCATTCAGATCCACTCATTTTGGGGGAAGAACTATGAGTTTCCTCTCAAAATGTCCAATTTTCCAGTTAACTTCAATCCACCGCTTCTCCCTACCACCACACCCTATAAATAAAGTTTGGCACACCTTGTACTATAATCTCCCAGAAATCTCTTAAGTTTTTATCTTCCACCATTTTTTTCAGGTCCTCCAGAAAATCATTAAAGCACTGGACTTCTGACAGCTGAAACAAAACAATAAAGGAAAAGACAGAGAAATAGGGTTAATCTGACACCAAAGTGACATGATTTTCTTAATTCATCAAACACTTTGTCTCAAATGGGGGTGGGGAGAAGGAGAGAAGCATTTCAGACCATTGCACTGTTATCTTGCCTTGCTTATAGAGTTAAACCTCATGTGTACTGAGTCACTAAGAAAATGACATTCCACAAAGAAGCACTGGCTACATTGGGGTTTGCTTTTTAAGGGCATGATCCTGCTAGATAAGCTTAAGCCTCCAAGCACAGAGGCCCACGCTCATCCAATGAGAGCCAGAGGAGAGGGAGAGGTAAGATTTGCTTTCCTGGGTCTCCTGCTCCACGTTTTTGCTAGACAGATGTTTTTGGCCATCTAGCAACAGCATTTCAGAGAAGAAACGACTGAAGCAAGGGCAGGGTATTGTGTATCCTGGCAACCTCAGTCTCTGCTTTCCCCCCTTTCTCCAAACCCCTCTCTGAGGTTGCTGCACCAGCTTCAGGGAGGAGCCATCATTGTCCTTCATGCATTGTTCTTCATGCAAGAGGGCAGGGTGTAGTGGGAACTGCTGATTACCAGCTCTGAGGTCAGATTCCTGGAGCTGGGAATCCAAACGACCCAAGGGCTCCTCAGAAAACAGCCAGGAGCCATAAAATCATTCCCTCACAAAGTTATTTGGGCTGGGTGGGGAAGGGTGGCAGAGCTGCCTTTTAATTTGCTAGAACACAGGTGTTATCATTCCACATTGGAAAAACCCTAGCAGAACATGGTCTATGCTTTGAAGGGCACAAAAGTCCAAACAAACAAACAAAAAACAAAACAAAACAAACAAACCACCAAGGTGCCTTTTAAGCCTGTAGCATATTATAATAATTCCATTCCATATGTTCTTTTGAATGCACTTCATGTATTTTTAAAACCGGGGAAGGTACATGACAAAGCCCACATCCCAGTAGCATGTACAACAGCCTTCCTCAATCTGGTGCACTCCAGATGCAGGCACATCTGGAGGGCATCAGGGTAGGGAAGAGTAGATTACAGTTTTCACACCTATGTTACCTTAATAGCTTCCTCTCTGAAAACATTTATGCATTTGATGCTCTTCATATAGTACAGAGACCCTCTGTTTTCCAAAAACTGGTTAATGTGTTTTATCAGCTGCTGGCTGACTAGAAGATAAGAACCACAAAATCAGAGGAATTATGCATAAGTCACAGTTGGTGTGAATCTAATGCAAACTATTTTTGATATTATGAAAACTCTTGACATTAGACGCTGACAGGAGATGAAGGAGGGTTGCTGGGTGAGGGAAGGGAAGGGAAGGGATTACACAAGAGTGTGAAAAATATGGCCTTATCATTGCAACATTTCTTCTCCTCCACACAGACTATCACCAACAAGCTAGATTTATGCTAAACAAAAAGTGACAGTCCGATATTGTTTTGAGCACAGAATCCTAGCCATGTGCAATTGCTGAAACAGAGACCAAGATACAGCAATATACTTGCCCTCTCATACTTAACCTCCATTCTTACTGCTTTGAGTCACTTCATCTAGACTGAAAGGTTTTTGAGAATCAGGAGTACATCAGCGTGCCTTACCGTCTGTGACAGGGTGCAGAATGACTTCAAGCCTGATGGCTGATTTTTATTTTGGAGAAGCTCTTGGGGGCTGCATTCCACTAGTTGGTGGGGCCAAAGGCAAAAGAGACAGGGCCAAAAACACCAGCCTATTTTAGCTTAAATGTCTTCGTGTCAATAACCAAGCCTTACCAGACACACAAAGCACAAAACCTTGAAAACCACCAAACAACTATAGACTGGGGAAAATGGACCCAGGGACTGAACAAAGAGGATTTGACTGGGACAGCAGGCGTACCCAACAGGGCTCCCAGCAACCTCAGCCTTGAGCAACCAGATGTGTATCCAACCATTCCTTGAAGGACCCTGGGGAATGCCAAGGAGCTCTTGCAGTTTTCTGATGTTTAAAAGTTGCACAGGGACTACCCTGAACTCCAGCTCCAAACCCCTAGTTGTCCTGGTGGCACAGTTCAAAGGAAAGAAAGAAGAGGAGCATGAATAACTTTTACACAATAGCCCAATGTTAATTAATAGCATTTAACATGGGGCTATTGCTAGGTTTTCACTTATAAGCGAATCTAGCAATTCGAAAACATGTCATGCGAGTAGATAAATAAGTATCACTTAAGTGGGAAGGCCACATGACCATGGACACATTTTTGGATAGCGCTGGCTCATGGCCTTCAAAATGGAGATGAGTGTTGGACCCTATAGCCATTTCAGCTAGCTAAAATATACAGGGACCCCTTCCCTTCCCTTCCCTTCCCTTCCCTTCCCTTCCCTTCCCTTCCCTTCCCTTCCCTTCCCTTCCCACCCCACCCCACCCCACCCCACCCCACCCCACCCCACCCCACCCATCCGGCCATACTCAACTTCTAGTTAAGTCCACAGTCTTAACTGGGTCTGGATACCATGCAGCGTATCATCAGACCTTGGACGAGGCATGGATTATTTTTTTCATGGATCAAGAAAGCTCACGTAGGATACAAGCCTATCCATGTTTAGTTGGAAGAAGTCCTACAACCCATGGCACACCTCAGCTAGCCCTGTTGGTTGGGGCCCACTGAGGATGCTTTTCGTGTTTCATCATGTACTGGTTTGTGTCCTGAGTCAGTGGAGAAAGGTTACTGGAGAGAAGGCCACAGAATAACACTATGTACAAAGGAGGGTGGGCACAAACATAACAAAAAGAACAAATAGCAGGAAATAAGATAATGCTCCTACATTAACACTGGCAGTAAAACCAGATGAAATGGTTAAAATAGAATGTCATATTCAGGTGGTAACTTGGTTCTTAGGTTCCTCCTCTGTTCGCTTAATGAGGAGGAGAGTTTTGCCAAAATTTCCCTCCATCTGCAGCCCCATGAATCCTATTCCACACCATCCCAGAAGTCCCATTATCCCCAGGAGAAGACTATCAGTGGGGGAAGGGAGCTGGGGATGAGGAGACTACAGAGGGAAGGGGGAGCTGGGAAAAGCTTACTTCATGAATGTGTACTGTTCCAGTCACAGAAGGAAAGTTAGGATCTAAGCCACTGATATCCACTTGACTTTGCTTCTTTTATTAGGTTACTTTCTCATGAAAAATGCATTGACCCAGTTTTATCTTTTGTAAACAGTGTGTATGTGGTGGGTGGGGGGAGGCACTGAGCAAGGTACTGTCAACATTTCAAGACTAAGAGTGGAAAGCCAACCAATGAAAACACCACCCCTAGATGAATATGCCACCTTCAAATAAATAGTGAAGACTCCGACTGAGAGGAAAGATCGCTCCTTCAATTCTGACCGATAAGTTACTGGGAGCTCATGTCTGTTTGGTTGCAGTGCCATGTCACAACTGCATTTACTGCCAATAAAGGAATGTCCCTATGAACTACCTGTTAAGGCCAAGGACAATCTCTTTCCCCTTTGGTGCTTTGCCCTTCTACAGCAGCCTAGCGAGGTGAAGCAGGGGAGTCAGGAACAGGGCCAAGACCAACAGATCAACAAAATTAAACCTGATTTTCAAATTAAATATCACTTAAATGATGACAAAATATTATTAGACTAAAGCACAAAAGCTGACACTCACAACCTCTTGAAAGTGAAGGTATGACCCTGTCGTAACCCAAATGAGGGCAGGCCTGTTAGCATGTACAGAAGAACGAATCAAACACAAAAAAATGTAACTTCTGAAGTCAAGGATTGTAGATATGGTGCAACAGGAGACTGTGTTTATTGTTGTGCAAAGTGTGAATATTTCGGCTGTCAAACAGCACAGACGTTTCTTTTCCACGTCACAGTGAGATGTTCTTCTGTCCCATAACTACCAGCTGTTGCTTCTACCAAATGAAGGCTATATTAAATGAGTCTTGGGCCTTACACAAACTGTGATCATCTTACGATCCATGGCCTGTCAGGTGCTGATGAACTTCAATTCCCATCACTTGGACCACCAGCCCTGTTGATTGGCAGGTGGCATGAGTCAGAGTCCAACAACATCTGGTAGGTTGCAGTTGCCCTAAATCATATTCTTTAAAGACCACTGGCTTACTAAGGTCAGTTCTTATCTAAGGCATGCTTAGTGCAAGGGTGGGGAACATGTTGGCCCTCCTGATTTATTTATTAGATTTAAATTCTATCTTTTTTTAAAGAACTCAAAGCAGCTAACACTGTGGTCCTTCTGCTGCTCTTAATCTTATTTCCACAACAACCCTGTGAGGTAGGCTAGGGTTAAGGGTTTTTGACTGGTAAAAAGTCACCAAGTTGATTCCATGGTTGAGTGGGAACTAAAACCCAGATCTGATGAACCTGAGTTCATCTCCCACACTCTTAACCAATACACCAAACTGGCTCTCCTATACTTTGGAAAGCAATTCCTATCAACTCTAACCAGCATTCCCAATGGTAAAGGGTGATGGGAACTGCAGTGCAACAATACCTGGAGGGCTGCAAGTTGCCTACCTGTGTTTTAACTGAACAGTTTATATCCTTTGCTATATACCTGAAAGAAATTTAAGTAGCTCAAAGAGCCATGGTAATAATTCATTCATAGATTTTAAAACAAGTCATTGTTGTAGTAACAACTTCCATTAATGGGTAATAAGAAATATAATAACTGGAAATAGTCATTATAACTTATTAATCTCAGAAGACACGCAGTAACTCAATGCCTTACTGCATCTTGGAATGTAAATTACTTTGAAAACATGCTTTCAAGGCACATTAACTGGCAAAAATTTTAGCAATAATAAACTGAATATATCTCAGGTTAATTAAATATGATCTTGTATGGATATATGAGTGTATATAAATTCCTCATGATCCACAGAAACCAAACCATGAACAGAAATAGGCTTTTTCACATGAAAAGAGTCCAGTGACAACACAAACAATTTCTGTGAAGTTGGGAGGTATGCATATAACACCTAGGTAAGGGCTGCAAACACTGAAGATACAACTGGCTCCATCCATTCTGAAGAAAAAAGAGCGCAAAAGTTGGCTTGAAACTCATCATCAAGAAAACTAAGATCATGACATCCAGTCCCATCACCTCCTGGCAAATAGATGGGAAAGAAATGAAGGTAGTGACAGATTTTATTTTCCTGGGCTCCAAGATCACCACAGACGGTGATTGCAGCCAAGAAATTAAAAGACGCTTGCTCCTGGGGAGGAAAGCTATGGCAAATCTAGACAGCATACTAAAAAGCAGAGACATCACCCTGCCAACAAAAGTGCATATAGTCAAGGTTATGGTTTTCTCAGTTGCAATGTATGGCTGTGAAAGTTGGACCATAAGGAAGGCTGAGTGCCAAAGAATTGAGGCCTTTGAATTGTGGTGCTGGAGGAGACTCCTGTGTATCCATTGGACTGCAAGGAGATCAGACCAGTCAGTCAGGAGATCAACCCTGAATGCTCTTTAGAAGGTCAGATACTGAAGATGAAACTCAAATACTTTGGCCACCTAATGAGAAGGAAGGACTCCCTGGAGAAGAGCCTAATGGTGGGAATGTTTGACGGCAAAAGGAGAAGGGGATGGCAGCGGATGAGGTGGCTGGATGGAGTCACTGGGGCAGTGGGTGTGGGCTTGGGTGGACTTCGGGGGATGGTGAAGGACAGGAGAGCATGGAGGAATGTTGTCCATGGGGTAGCGATGGGTTGGACGTGACTTTACTAAACAAGAACAACAACTAATTCAGAAGAAGTACTGATTAGCATGCACCTAATAGTGCATTATGTCCACACTGTTAGAAGTAGATTGTTGGAACTTACTGGCCTGAAATCTCTGGACAAGGGACAGCACTGTAGGCACTGCTACAGGGACTCTGTATCCAGGTCAGAAACATCATCTGCAGCTACTCAGAAGCCCAAGAAAGCAAAACTTGTAGGACTTCACTAATAAAGGATGTAATTCTCCCCTGTAAGTCTTCTGGGCGAGCTGTGCTCATGACTCTCCTGATTCCTGTAGGTAGGCATTTGCCCTCCAGCAGTTCCACCAAGGAAACACAAACATGTTTTCAATACCCTTGTTAAACAGGCAAGATATGCCCAAAATAAGGATTAAAAAACTGGCAAGAAACCCAGGCACATGGAAGAGTTGTATGTTACAG